TACTATAACTTCTGCACTCAAACGTATACCCCCCATCTCTTTATATCTGAGCAAGGAGTGGTTGACTAAGGATCCAGGAAGAAATCACTGGCTTCCTGAAAAGCAGGAAAGAAAAGATGCCTAGAAGCAAAAAGCACGTGATATTCAGAAATGCAAGAAGATAGAAAATGAGCAAGAAGGAGGTCTAATCAGTAGATGGTTTTCAGTCAGGACGCAGTTGTGTTGCTGAATGAAGGTGCATGTGTCCTATGGAAGATAAATAAGTTGACAACCATCCAGCCAGACTAATTAGAAAAAAAATCAGGAAGGTGACCAATTACCAATATCAGGAATAAAAGAGGTAAAGTCACTACAACTTTTGCAGGTAGTAAAAGACATTATGAGAATGTTATGAACAACTTAATGCCAGTAATTCAATAATTTGGATTCTTTGAAAATCATAAACTACCCCAAACTGATTCACAAATAAATAACCTGGATAGTTCTACATTCATTAGAGAATTGAATTTATAGTTAAAAACCTTCTCACACACAGCCACACACACACACAAATTCAGTTCCAGATGACTTTACTTGTGAATTCCACCAAACATTTAATAAAGAAATAATAAATTCTCCCAGAAAATTGAAGGTGAGAAAATACATCCCACTTCATTCTATGAGGCCAGTATTGGTCTGATACCAATACCAGATAAGGATATTTCAAAAAAAGAGAATTATAGACCAATACCCCTCATTAATATAGATGCAAAATTTTTTTGCAAAGTTATAACAGATCAAATCCAACCATTTATTAAAAGGATTATACGTTATCACTGTTAGGTTAATGCCAAGAATGTAAGATCGGTTTACTATTTGAAAATCAATCAATGTAACTTACCATATTAAGAAAATAAAGAAGCAAGCTATACAATCACCTCAGTTGATGCAGAAAAAGCATTTAACAAAATCTGACATCTATTCCTTAAAAAATTCTCAGCATACTAAGATTAGAAGGGAATTTCATCACCTGATAACTATAAAAATTAATTTTTTAAAAAAACTTACAGCTAATATCATACTTAATAGTAAAAGATTGAATGCTTTCTTCTTAAGGTAAAGAACAAGGCAAGGATGTCTACTTTCATCACTTCCATTCAACATTGTACCAGATACATTAGCCAGTGCAATAGACAAGAAAAAAGAAATAAATGGCATCCAGATTGGAAAAGAAGTACAACTGTCTTTAATCACAGATACCATGGCAGTCTAAGAAAATTCAATAGGATCTATTAAAAAAGCTACTCAAATAAGAGAGTTTATACATGTTATAGGATATGACATCAATATGTGAAAATCAATCATATTACATACTGGCAAAGAGAAACTGGAAGTTGAAATTACAAGAATGCAATTTATAATAGCATCAAAAATATGAAAGACCCATACACTGAATAATACTGAAATTAAAGAATACCCAAATAAATCAAGATATATACCGTGGTCATGGATCAGAAGTTTCAATATTCTTATAATGATAATTTTATACATACTGATCTACACATTCAATAAAATCCCAATAAAAATACTAGAAAGCTTTTTTCTAGAAATTGACAGGTGTATTTTAGAATTCATATGGAATTGAAAAGAATAAAAATGTTGGAAGAGTTACACCACTTGACCTTAATACTTACTATAAAGCAATAGTAACCAGATAGTGTTGCATTGGTATAATATTAACAAATAAATCATTAAAACAGATTAATAGTCAAGTTATAGATCCAGATACATATGGTCAATTGATTTCTGACAAAAGTACAAAATTAATTCATCTATTCAACAAATACTGCTAGAGGAATTGGATATCCATTTACAAAAAAATGAGTTTCAGTCTGTATCTTGTACCACATTCCAAAATTAATTTAAAATAGATCATAAAGGTAAGTGCATAACATAAAAATATAAAACATCTAAAAATATATGAGAAATCTTTGTGATATTGGGTAAAGCAAAGATTCTTAGATACAATACCAAAAACGTGGTCCTCAAAAGGAAAAAAATTGATACATTCAACTTCACCAAAGTTGAGAATTTCTTCCCTTCAAAAAATACTTCTAAAAAGTGAAAAGACAAGCCACAAACTAGAAGAATATGTTTTCATATTACACATCCAAAAAATGGTTTGTATCCAGATTATGCATAAATATCCTTCAAAACTCAATACTAAGGATAACCCAATAAAAATTAAACAAAAGATTTAAGCAGATACTTCACCAAAGAAGATGGCATATAAGCATGTGAAAAGATCATTAGTCATTAGGAAAATTCAAACTAAAAACCAAAATGATGACCTATTAGAATGTCTAAAATTTAAAAAGATTGACTGTACCACATATTAGCAAGAATGTAGGCAAATGGAATTCCCATGCACTGTTGGTGGAAATTTAAATAGTGCAACTACTTTAGAAAACACATTGGTAATTTCTTAAAAACTTAAACATACACTTACTATATGATCAAAGAGAAATGACGGCATATATTCATATGAAGATTTGTGCACAAATGTGTACACATCCATATAATGAAATACTACTGCCAATAAAAAGGGGATCGAATATTGACAGACACACAACATGGATAAATGTCAAAATTACACTGAGTGAAAGAAGCCAGACAAAACAAAGGGCACATGTTAAATAGTTCCATTTATATAAAATTCTATAAAATGCAGACCTGTAGTGATGGAAGGCAGACCAGTGTTTGTCTGGGGATGGAGGGAAGACAAGGAAGCATGAGGGAGGAATTACAAAGAAATGATGGATGTGTTCTCCACCTTGATTGCCGTGATGGTCTCATGGGTGTACATATGTCAAAACCTATTAACTTATAAATTTTAAGTATGTGCAGTTTATGCCTCAATAAAGCTGTTGAAAAGTATTAAAAAGTAGAAAAAGTTAACACTGGTCATCTCTGGTCATGGTCCCTCAATTATTTCCACAGCTCAGACTTTAGCCTCTTACAGTGTCGTGTGGCCCATCCTCCTCTTTTCTGTCTCCCCTCTTCCCTTTTCTGTCTTATTCACAGTAAATCAACTCCTCTCCCTCCCTTAACTCCAGGCCTCACTTTACACATCCAAGGTTAGTTTTAAAATCGTGATTTTTAAATGCTTGTCAGATCATGTTTTATAAAATAATACATATTTTATAATAAAACAATTGTTTTAATATAGAATAATTTTTATTGAAAGGTATTCACTCCCAGAGGCTATGGGGCAAGCTGTTTTCTTTTTTCTTTTATTTCTTTTTTTTCCAGTTTTATTTAGCGTTATAAATAATACATATTATCTTGATGATGCAAGAGTACCGACCTTAGTTATTTTCCTACAATGATGTTGACATCCACTGAGACCTACTTACCCCTGTACATTTTACCCCTAAATTGATTTAGACTCCTGAGCTTTACAATTTTTTTCTCTTTACTTTTTAGAGTTTTCTCTTCTCTTTCCTCATTGTCAGATAGACTGTCAGCTGACACTTCTGCTGTGTTCATGTGTCTATTTAGAGAATCTTCACACCACCCTTGTGATTTCCTGTCTCTAATCTGTTTTGATTCAGAAAAGCTATAACCAAGGGAGTAAGAATAGTGTGTAAATTTGGAACAAATATAGAATCCAAGTAGGTAACCAGAGGCTTACTTTTTTGAGTAAAGTGCATTGGATTTGTGCCATTAATTTTGACACTGTTACTTTTTTTTTCTAAAATAAATGACACTTATGTGAAATTACTGTATATAATTCCCAAGAGAAACTGTAGGACTAAGAAATCCTGTGTTCCCAATGGAAGACATCATCAATTTTCCATAGAATAATTTGCCAACGTTGTCTTTTGTAAGAATTATGTACAATATCCCTTTTTATTTATGTAGATGTTTGCAATATGTCCTTTTGTAGATATCATAGTATTGTACAATCAATCTGTTCTGTGAGCCATAGATTATTTAAATGAAAGCTGTTGGACTAACACATTAAAATAAATTTGACCACAGCAGTACCAAGTTCTATAATCTTTCCTAGTTTAATGCTCAAATAATGTGACTGATAAAAATGATGTAACTAAGGCACTGCAGATGTCATTAAAAAGTGTTATGTCTGGGATAAGCTGAGTCCAGATTTATTATTTGAACAGTATTTAGCATTCTCTAGCCCTTCTTGCACCCTGCAATACTTTTCCAATTTAAAATTTACACATAAGATCCTGTTTGATTTATCTCTTGGTGTACATGACTTATGTAATGATTGCTGAGGAGCAAACACTATTAAAATGGGTAACTAGACATTCGAGTTAAACATTCCTTTTCCATATCATTCTATTATCTTTGTGTTGCCTTTTTTAATCTAAGTCTCAACAAATACATCTTTGCCAGGAGATGACTGTGGCTCAGAGATTGTCATTTATAAGATTGTGTTTTGCCATAGTACTTTGAGATGCATTTTAAAAAGGAGCAGTGTTCTTTCTCATTTCAACCCCTAGGGGATACAAGAAACTCTCCCCACTTACTCTACAACTAGAGTGAAGGTGCTTAGGGATAAAACCAGTGGATGTTTTTAGTTCTTAATTTGCTTGACTTCTGTAGCACTTAATAATACCAACCAGTTATGTCCTTGCAACACTGCCAGCCATCAGGCATTGAGTCACTTCTGTGTCTCTTACTTTCTATAATGTCACGCTCTCCTAATTTCTCCGTTTTCTCTCTAAAGTCTCAGCCACCTGCCAATTCCACTTTCTCTGCCTGCCCCTTAAACATTGAAGTTCTTGAGGATTCTGTTTTGGACCTACTTCTCATCTCCCAGTAAACAGTCTCAACTTTAATTACCAACCATGTGCTGGTAATTTGCTGATAAGTCTAAATCTGCAGCCCTGAAATCTTTCTGAAATAAACTCTGTGTACCAGCTGCTTTCTAGATACCTCCAACTCATTTTTCTGTGGTTTTAGATATGTGACACTTCTTTTTCTGTCCACAGGCAATAGGTCCTCAGGGTTTATTAAAGGAAAGTGCCAAAGGCTCTCTTCAGAAAAGCTTCGGGGTTCTTAATGAAGCCAAGAAGTTAGCAAATGATGTAAAAGGTTAGTGTGGCCAATTTTTTTTCTAGTGTTTCGTTTAATTGCATTGTAATTGGTGGGATATTCTATCACACTGTTGGAGAATTTAATTGTTTTAGCATGATTTTATGATTATTCTGTAATCTGGATTTAATGCATGTAAACTTTCTTACCAGTTTTACAAAATTTTGTCTTCATATCTCATTTTGCATTGGCTACATTTCATAATTTTTAAGCCTAATTTCTATAGCATCACTTCACCTGTGTCTAAAGTATAGTAACTCTTAGTGTGCTAAGTTTTTAAGAGTACCAAACTCCACTGTTTTGGCTTCAGAAATGAAAGTCACAAAGGAATGACTCAGGCTGGTGTGGTATAAATGTCATTGTTAAACTTTCAATTTTGTTAGTGGGTACCATTTTCTGAGAAGGTTCCAGACCTTTTTAATACATTATTCTCTTATATTTTATTCCTAATTTAAGGATCAAAGTACATAAAATATCTACCCTGATATATTATGGGTTTTGTGTTAAGAATATATCATTGAACATGACTGCTCTCTATACAAGCTGTTATGTTTATTATTTCATTCAAGTATCTCTTGTTTCTCATTGGAATTGCCTCCTGTTTCTCCCTCCAGTTTCATTTCTTACCATTTTCTGGCTTGTATCCATCTCCCAACCTTACCTAAATATTCATGGTCCCTCCAAAACATGCTACTGTGTTAAGATTAATGTTTTTGCAGTGTTACTCTTTCTCCTTAGGATGCCTCATCCTCCATCCCTCTTCTTTATCTAACTGTCTTCTACCAGACCTTCTAGATTTAGCTCCAATGTCATCATCTCCAGGAAACCTAATACTATGTCTGATTTATATGGCTCCCGCTCTCAGTATACCTTTCTCATAGATTTGTCAAACCACTTCAACCACGGAATACTTAATATTCTGTCCTCTTTTATTTTTATTTTTTTACATTTTTTTATTGATACATACTAGATGCACATATTTTTAGTATTCCATTTTCTTGAAAAAAAACACAAGATCTTTTTAACTTTGTATTTCTAGTATATATCATA